GGTAGTGCAACGAAGTTGCTCGTCCAATCCCGCGTGGTGCTGCACTTGACTGATGTCACGTTACTGACACACCGTTCAGATCGTTGGAGGAACCAGGAGTTGTTAGCGTCGGCGCGTGGGTGGTAGTGCGGTTGTGTCTGTTCCGGTTGTAGTGTGGTATGTTGTGGTTGGGGTGTGGTGCTGTTGTGTTTGTGTTGAGCTACTCAGGCGGACTTGGGTATGCCGTGGAGACAGCTCTTTTTGAGAAGCATCGGACCACATATGATGTGGTCCACTGCAGATGAGTCCGTAGGCCTGAGCAGACTTCGAGGTGACTCCACACGTTGCAAGTATTACATTTGACTGCGGTGGAGTTGTGGTGTAGTCGTCTCTGGCACACGCAGCAGGTGTCAGTTTCTGGCCCAGGGTTTGACTCGATACCAGCCCTGAGCAGAAGAGTACGTAGCAGATGTAGCCCCAATATCGAGCAACGCTTGATGGATTTCGCCGACCTAAACGGGCTTAGATCACCAAAACAACAGCCCTTGGTCGGGTAAAACCCGAGTAAAATCCGCGTCATTCCGATACGTAGAACCGGTTATCGCCGTAACGTATAACAGGGAGTCGATAACGTCGATAACGACGTTTAACTGTATAGTTAGTGTTAACCAGACATTGAGTAAGTCGTAAGCTGCTTGAACTGGACGCGAAGGAATCGTTCTTGACCCCTCTATGTAAAATCGCGACTAGAAACTTCCCCCATATGCGTGGACTTCTGCACCCGTAACCATCCTAGTATGGAAGCCTTTGGAAAGGAATATTTAGGCCGTCGCAGCAAAATGGTTTGAGGTGCGTCCTAACACCCTGTAGAAAAAAAGTTCGATGGACAAGCCAGCCTAGGCAGGGCTAAGTAAGTCGCTACTACAACAACTACAAAAAGTTCGATCCCTAGTCCCAGCACCACTTTATGTTAGATTCAATTTAAGTCGGATCAGGGTGACTCTAAACCTAGTTCTAAAAGGTGCACATTGGACGATGGTATTAATTTAGTTTCTCTTATTGTTTAATATACGAATGTATATGTTTTTCTTTAAATACAGTGGTGGAGAAATAAATTTGGACATTTTAACAAATTTTGCCTACTTTTGTTTATTTAATATTTTTTTTATAAAAGTATAGCTCACTATATAACAAAATCTATGTAAATACATATTTCAAACTTTGCGCAAAAATTAAAAAGCTCTGCAAAAATGTATCCAAATTTTCGACTTTGTGATCAGATTTTTACGCAGTTTTATAGCCCGTTAAATTTTAGTAGAATAAACTTAGTTTCACTATGTCATCAAAGATGCGAAAACATAACACATAGGCCCAATCCCGTATTCTTCGGACTAAAACTAGTAAAACGGTAAAAAAATAAATATTCGCTCAGAACGGAAGAGTACACTGAAAAGTACGAGATTGCTTTCAAATAAAAAATGGTAACTTCTAACAAGTTCAACATAACCTCCAAATTTTATATGTAAATTTTTGCTTATTTTGTATGTAAACACGCTTAGCTCACACATGTAAATAACTAAAAATACTTTGAAATTTATTAGAATCTACTTCAACAAATAATTAAATACTTTTCAAACACACTACACTACAGCTGGTCGTTTGACACATTTACCAGGAAAAAATCTTCGGACTACAACTGGTAATTTCTGACAGAGAGAGGACCTTATTTACCTCTTTTTTGTCCTTTCACTACTCAGAAGACTGAGTACGGGATCGATTACCTGTAAATACTGACTAATAAATTCTGATTAGTCTGGACTCGTACGGGATTGCAACTATTGTCAAATGGGACTAAAAAAGTTTCAATTGATTCATCTAGATCAGAATAGGCCTTCGGTCGTGTACATACGCTGCTAAAGTGGCTATTTGGAAGTTTCTGACCCATAATAAATGTGTTCGCTATGCAAAAAACTTGTACAAGTTGGTACCAATTGTTACCAAATCGTGTTCTTATGGCCAAAAAACTAGTAAAACTTGCAGAGAGCACAATTTTAACATTTCATTTGGAGCGGAAGAATTAGCAAGCAGGATTTTGGCACACGGTTGCATTTTTGTCAACAATAATTTGAATAGAGAGGTTCGTTAAATTTAAAAATGAACATTCTTGTTGCGATTTGCTAATGAAAGAAGTTTGTAAACATTTGCTTATTCAATTAATTTAATTAATTCCAAACATTCGAAAGGTACTCGGCTGAAAAAGCTGTATTCGTAATCGGACACCACTGTCGAGTTCCACAAAGAAATTGAAGCGAATGTTGAAGAAAGTCAAAATAAGAAGAAACATACGTATAGGTCCTGTTTTGCTTTGCACTGGAAATAATTAAAAATTTATTTTGCTCGCAATGCAACCGTGGACGCCATCTGGCAGTGGAGCTTGCAAATATTTGCTAAAGGCTCTGTTATGCATACTTGGAATTTCAATTCCATACTCATGGACGAGGGCTGCCGCCTGTTAAAAAAAAAGATAAATTAAATTTGAAGTAAGGGAATTATTTGTTTGAAAATTATATTAAGAAATGGATAGAGGGGCTTAAAAAAGTTGTAGTTTGAAATTATTTTTAATTGAGTTGCCAACTGTTTGAAAAGTCAAATTTAAATTAATTATTCGCAAGCTATCTTAAAACTTAAAAAATGGGTGTCAAACGAAATATTGGGCCGTATGAATAAAAATTAAGCAGTTGCTTTTTCTTAAAAATGTATACCTTTTATTTAAACTTTGCTTGAATAAATCGAGTAGATGGTCTGAAATTTTAAAAAAAGCATTCGCTTATTTTTATTCATACGTCCCATTGTTAAAAAAAACTTTAGTTGCAAATTTAGAATATTATTGAGTTTTTTTTGCAGGGTTACCACCTATTTAAAAATTAAATTCAATTAGTTTAAATGAATTATTACAATATGGGTAAGAAACGAAATGGGTTTGAAAAAGCTGCATTTCTAAACTACATGTGTCAGAGTTGCCACCTATTTACAAAATCAAAATTTTACATGTATTAAAGGAATTGGAACATGTATCACAATATGAGTGGTAGACGAAAGAAGTTAAATAAGGTTTTAGTTTGACAATATTTTTTTTGATGAGGGTTGCCACATGTTTGAAAAGTCAAATTTAATTAAATTATACACAGGTTAAAAAGTCAAACACAAGAGTGTTTAGACATCTTGAACATGTAGAATTTCCTGAGGTATTTGAAGAGTGTTGCCACCTGTTTTAAAAATAAATTTAAATACAATTATATTATAAGTTAAATAAGTTATTATATTTGATCAAACGCATCTTGAAACGACTTTATTTCAACATATAGCAGGATTTCCATCAGCTGAAAACTCTAATTCAACGTGAATTATGGGAATAAGTAAATTTAAATACAAACGAAAGAGGGTTAAAAAGGTTGCCAAATCTTTAAAAAGTTAAATGCCATCATTTGAATAACTCCAAGGTATTACTACAATAAGGGTATCGATCGAAATGTTTTGAAAAGGCTTCGTTTTTAAACTACTTGTCCCTCTTGCATGCCTCCTATATAAAATCTCAAATTAAATTCAGGGGATAAGTTAATTGAAAAAGTATCACAAGAGAGAGGTTTAAGAAAGTTTTACTTTGGAAATATTTTAAGATGGTAAAAAAAAATAAAATCTCCTGTTTTTGGGATAATTTAAGTATGTAGACTTTTATTGAAATAAATTACACCTAATTTAGCACGCAGAAATTTCATACACTCAGTGAAGCGGGGGACTCGCGTGTTAAAGAAAAGTTACCACCGCATGTCGGTGACGTTGCCGTTGGTTCTCCCTCTCTCCATCAACAGCAATTTGATATGTTGATACGGACGGCAGGTATGCCCGTCGGTGGCGGGTTGAGCTATTAAAATTGAAACATATGAAAGTGGTCGAGCAATGAGCGGCATTTCGAACTAAGTCTTATGTAGAGAAGTGAAATAGGGCAATTTTTTTCAGTATATAGAAATACCAAGTATTTTTTTAAATTTAATTTTTAGACAATTTATAATATTATTATAGGGTCCCTGTCTAATCTTTGTTTACAAAAAAACGCATTTTTTCATTGATAAACATTTATTGGACTCTAAATGTCGTTGGAGTTTACATGATTCACAACTTCGTTTGTATTCAATATTGACTTTAATTCTATTAACTAAACATAAATATTTTGTTTTTGTTTTATTTTTATAATATCGATTACATACTAAAATAGACCTCACATAAAATTGTAAAATTATTTTTAAAATATAGAAGTACAATTGTTATAACTCGTTTGTTTTTTTCTTCTCACTTATTTCATAGTTTTATATGAAGTATCTTCGCACACATTTAAACTCTATTTTATAAATAGTTTTTATAAAAGTAACATTGCTGCTCTATACAGTTTGATTTATCGTCATCTTTGGGTTCATCAATCTTCACTTAATTTGTTGGCTTATTTAGTACTGTTTGTTTAATTTGTAGACGATTTCTACATTGGTTCGGACATTTTTTAAATGCTTTTCGATAGTATACCACCCGCATAAAAATACCAAAAGTTTTATCATTCTTATTCTACTACTAAGCATTTACTTTTATGTTAGTTTTATTTTTTGATTTTGCTTAGTACTTTATGTATACTGTTGTCTTTGTATGGTAACAGAATGCGCAAGTTATAGGCAGTCGTAAATTTTTTGAATTTTCTCTATAAATAAATAATTTAAGACTTATATAAATATGTACATATGTACTACGCATATGCTCGCAGCTTTACTTAATGAGTACATACTATAGAAGATCAGCTGATGTTAGATAATGTTTTGTCAGAAAATTTAAATATTTCGATTGCTTTCTATTCTTATAGTGTGTTAAAAATTGTTTTAGATTTAGCGCAAACATCAAATTATAATTGGGCAAAACAAAAACTAAAAACACAACAGTTTTTGTAATTTATAAACATGCAATAAATGTTTAAATTTTAATTAAAATTGTTTAAAATAGCAACATTTTCAAAATTAAACCAGTTTAAACTAATCGCTAATTAAAAACTAATGTATTTTTTAAGTTTGTGCCTATAAATATGCAATTTTCATTTTTGCGCTAAAAACACATTTTAACCTCAATTTTTGATAACATTTTTGTAATGCACAGTTATCGTGCGCAAATATACATAAATAAAAATTTAATATCACTAATCTTAATGTACAAAAAACAAGCAGTTAAGTATTTAAATAAAACGGAAAGTTTAAAAACTTTTTTTGTATAGATATTAAAATAAGAAAGTCCTTAAAATATTAACACTAGATCAGTTATTTATGTATTAATTAGCTGAGGTTTGTCAACCCGAAGGCTAGACAATCAGTGGGTGTTGGTGTACAGGAAATACAGTTCATCTCGTACATTGTTTCATGGCACTTCAGAGCCGCATGACGTTTATTTAATGCCGCGGGCAGCAAGACAATTTAGTCATTTGCCTTTCGTTTTGACAACGCCTGCTCTTCATCTTCAAGCTGTTTAATTTCCTTGATTATATCCTTTTTCCGCTTCACTTTATCTAGTTGATCTTTTTCAGGTTTCTTAAGCTCACCAGTTTTAATACGTTGTTCGATTGTTTCAATTTCACGCAGTTTTTTGCGCAACTTTTTTAGTTTCTTCAACGCTTCATGACCGTCATCTGATTGCACTTTTAGGCTGG